AAGCAAGAATTATGTAAAATTTTACAATGTTAGAAAGAAACCAAAATAAAAGCGACTACTCGAAAAATATGAAATAATAAAAATATAGAATATTTTTTCTAAAAAAAGATTGTTATTCAAAATCTACATGAAGTAGCATAAGTGATAATTTCAAATACTAGTACTAGTAGTTTTTACCACTATGAGATTTATTTTACAGTTTTGAAATTGTTTTGCAGCAAATATTTTATTTATCTGTGCACTTTTGTACATTATACAGTCATTATGCAACCCACCCCAAGTAGGTGGATAACAAATTTGAAATCTGACAAAAACATCATGACGCGATGACAGATTGGACTCACATTAACTGTATTTTCTTCCTGGCTGTCAACAATCTCCCCGTGTTCATTGATAACAGCAGAAAGTCTGAACTTGAGCTCCTCACACACTACCATGACTCGCGTTCCGAAGTGTTCCTTGAAGGGAGTCACTGTCGGGAGTTTTTCTTCAGCTAGCATCCTACCAACAGTCTATGAAAAAGAAACATTTTATTGACTTGGAAGCAATTTAAGGTTCTATTTGATCATTGTTGAGATGAGGAAATGAACATGGCATGATTGAATAATTACTGTAGAATACTTTTTTTTCGCTTGGAATTTATTTTCGCTATTTTCGCTGAAGGGATGATTCCGTAAAAATAAAATCCAGCGAATATACTTTTTTTCCTCTATTTCACATTGAACTCATCAAAAATCAGTGAAAATAAATTCCATACAAAACGCCCAAAAAGCCCTTTCAGTGAAAATTAATTCCAGCGAAAATAAAGTATTCCACAGTAATGCTACGCAATATATATCATATTGATGTAGTGTGATCCTTGGGATGACTGAACAATGTTGCACACTTATGAATTGGTGGGGCAAGCTTGCAAAATAAAACAAAGTTTAGTTTTACACATTTTCACATTGATGTTATGTAATCCTAGGGATAATTGAACAGTGAAGTTGAAAATGGGTGCTTGCGTAATGGGCACGACTTGCACTAATTATAGGCGGTGACTCCTTTAATACCTTTCAATCACCTAAAAATACTTAATTAAAGCTTGGTAACATCTCAGTTTGTACTCGTTGATCTGCGCAACAGTCAAAGTCACCATATTTGTTTATACAAGACCAATATATCTTGTGCATATGAGGCGCGACGACTACCACCTTTCAAGATAATATTGTGCGTGTATCTTACCTGTAGTGTAGGATAGATTCCAAATAACTTTTGTCTTCCGTCCTTGCGTCGTATTGCATTTAGTCGTTCAGTTTCTTTGGCATACTTCATCAGCTCTGGATGTTTACTCTGCTCCAAGCTTTCTCTCAATGTTTCTGGTTTACTGGGTGACAACAGTGGATCATCGTCTGTATGCGCATAAACAATATGAAAAAGAACTCATCACAGCCAACGCTTTGTTTTACATAGCGCCCTCGGTGGTAAACCAGATGAACAAAATTTATCGCAAGGAAGGTGGACCATCGTCTATTGCATCCTCAAATTTCTCATAACAATGTTTTTTTACATGGGTTGTATACTTAAAGGAAACATCAATCCAAACAACATAATGACCCCTAAAGCTCCACAAATGTAGGAGAATGCAATTTACAGTTTTTTTATATCACTTATTATGTAGTCAGCCATCTTGATTTTCAATCAAAGGATATCGAGCATGGCATTTGAAAGTTGGCAATCTAGACAATTTGTGTAAAAAAACAATATACCGATATTTGGCTGTGTATATGTTGCCCATAACATAATATTAATAAACATTTTTTACCTTGTTCCAGTTCATCTGTTGATGAAATACTTTGTTTGTCCTCGTTTCCTTGTTGTATTATTTTATTAAATGCATTTATCCAATCTTCTAGATCATTCTCGCTATCTGATGCCAACTGGTATAAACTTTTATCTTGCATCCGAAGCTCAAAACCATATTTCCGACTTTTTTGGTTCTGGTGAAAACAACAGACAGTTCATCAAAGTTGTTCCAAACTTGTGGTGGGAAAAAATGGGGCCACTGAAATTAACTACCCTAACAGTCAATTATCAGTTTGAAAATAAATACATGCTTACTTTAACAACTTCTACCAATGAGTCAGAAATAGCGTGCCTTTGGTGGACATTCTCTCTTTGCTTTTATCT